TCTGTTGCGAATTTTGTTTTCCATTTCGGGAAAAACATTGTTGCTTTGTCCAGAATGGCCACATCATCGCATTATATGAACTGGTATGAACAAGTGGAACTGTTTGCCACTGGAAAAAAAGCACTGAATTTTTGAGAATTCTGGAATCTTTATAGGTACTATACTGATCCATCATACTTTTTCGATTTATGGAGGCAAGAAATGCTAAAAGATGTGGGAGATGGACGCCGTGGACGTGCAGTCAGATCGCCTGTTGAGGGCAGAAGTCCGTCTCGGAAAAAGCGTACGCGGCAACCAGCATCCTCCACTAATGTTGCTAGGGAAGCCATCCCAAGGTTACCGTTTTTCTTATTACGATCATCTTCCGTATACTGCATTAAAATATTCGTTTTTTTTTTTTGAAATTCTCCGTTCAGAATTATTTCTCTGTTAGTATAGTACATGATTTGTGTATGTAAGCATTCGCACTAAGCCTTTTAGTGGACGAGAAATCAAATGAATACACAGAAATCATATTTAGCGTTATTTACAGTTGAAAAGAGATCAGAATTTTGATTTTTATTATTTTAAGGTCGCAGATTCAGCTAACTGTATGCAAACGATTATCAGTTACATGTCACTTTAACACTTTAATAGGCTGTCGTTTTATTGTAGTGCATCTTCATAACATTTACGCTTAGTTAAAGTTTATTAAATTACATAATTCAAGTTAATATGCACATATTTTGGTTTATAAATAAACCAGTTATTCGTAATTTACGTTGTGCCGAGATTTTTCAGGTATGCGATGGCATCGCAGCAACGTCCTGCGGACATTATGCATTTCCCGGCTGAATATCAAGCACCACAAATCACTCGTGTTGATCAAGTTCGTGTGCCGGCTGGAATGAGCCTGCCGACCAGTAATGGCTATGTTGTGAAAGCGCCGTATACCGGCAACGCTGTTACACCGCTTACAGCTACTGTTGCACCCCTCCCTCCTCCAATCAAGGAGGTAATTTTCAAATATAATTTTGTGAAATTGCAAAAAACACTCATTTTTCTTGAATTTTTAAGGTTGGTTTTGGAAGCCAGTAGTAGGAGATTCCATAATAAAAAACTAAACAGCCGTCATGATCGTTTTCTGGTCTGTGGCTTCCTTGTTTATACACAATCCATTCTTGATATTGTTCAGCCTCGAATTATTCGGTTTTCTACACTGTTTTTTACCTTGAATTATTCTGTTTTGTACACTTTCAAAACAGTTTCTTTCGCTTTTCCCAGAAAATTATTTTCCAGGAGTCGCCGATCGGAGCAGCGGGCAACCAGATAGCGGATCAACTGAGGCACATTGACTTGCAAGAGGACTC